GATGTTGAAGATCAGTGTAATGCGTACCGTAAAGGGCTAGATATTCGGTATACAAAGCACAGAGCAGTTTCGAAGGTTGTTTATTAAGGTTTCTTTGGACACGAATTGGTAGTAGTGTACATGAATTGGTAAAAGATAAGGTGTTTTAAGTCTTCTTTTAAGATTTGGCGCAAAAAATGACTTGGGGTGATTTTGTTTAACGAAAACTGTTAAAACTTTTTCTGTTTGTTATTTGAAGTAGAGATTCAAAAGTGACAGTTTTTGCAGCAAAATGAAAGTGGACAGAGAGGATCTGTATCATATATGATAGGAATGAATCCACGATCGGGTGCTTCCAGTTTTTCATGCTTGCCGCCAAGCGGTATGACGAGTAGTGCTGTAAATAAAACTTCAATGATGGATAAACTGCTGACAATGCTAAAGGGCTTACCGAATACATTACCAGATGGGCCTTTCGTAGAATCAAAAACTGTACATTTTTAAAAAATATTTCAGTAGCACATGTTATTTCAGACATATCTTAATGAAACCAAAAGTTGTATGTTTTTGTTAACCATCATTGGTCTAACACGTCTTTATTTCGGTTTTACTGGCATCACTGGGTGGAATGTTTTTCTATCGTCCTTAAAAAAAAAATCATACATCTCTTTTAATGCACTTCTTGATTAATTCCAGTGATTCAGATCCACGCAGCACTGAAATTCAATGTAGTTAAATCTCATAAAATGCAGTTTTTTTATGCCACATTGTCACTGTTTACTCTGTGTGCGCTGTTCAGGTACGCTTTTATGAAAATTTATTCTTTTAAATATTTTCAGCTAATTCCGACACGGTCGAATTCCCTACGTGCAAGTCGTTCAAATCCCGACATTGCTGGTCATTCTGTAGGCGCATCACGAATCTCAACAATGAATATTGCTCAGTATTATCAACCTGCTAATAGTCCATGTCCGGAACATGTTTTGAAAGTTTATCGAGCAGATCAGTCTTTCAAGTATCTCACTGTTTACAAAGAAACAACTGCCCAAAATGTGGTTCAGCTTGCGTTGCAGGTTTTTTTCAATTTTTAAATTTGCTTTTCTAATATTAATCACCCAAGCTACTTCTTAATTGTCATTTTTTCTCAGGAATTCGGCATGAGTTCTGACAGTGGAAGTCTGGAATGGGCACTTTGTGAGACAACTGTGACACCGGATGGAGTGATCAAACAGAAGCGACTTCCGGATCAAATGAACAATCTTGCTGAACGAATTCAGCTCAATAGTCGTTATTATTTAAAGAACAACAATCGGTGAACCTTTCTTACTGTGGACTTTTCAAACCGATGTTATCTTACCTCTAGTTTTGATTTTAGAGATATCAACGGCCGATAAACATGCTGTAGTTTTGTAATTGTTTATACTTATGGAGAATATAACGGTCTCTCAAGATAGTGAGAACTTGTTCACATGATTAGGACATTCCGAATAGTAAATTTAACTAGATTTTTGGCTAACTGTGCTGTCAAGAGTAAACTAATGCTAAGAAAATTTCAGATCAGAACCGTTGGTACCTGACGAATTGGCTCCCGAAGTTTTGAAAGAAGCAGAGACTCATCTACTTCAGCTGAATGCACAAATACTTGCTGCTCAACTGACTTTACAGGTGAAAATTTTCTTGTGCTATTAAAATTTTTCTGACATTCTTTATCTCCTTATCTTGTAAGTTGATAGTCACTAATATTTGGTCAATGATTATTAACGGAATATTTTGACGTTTTCATAGTATTTCAGGATTTTGATGTATTTTCGGCCATTGAACCTACAGAATATATAGATAACTTATTCAGTTTGGAATCGAAGTATGGTTGGCCAAAATTGGCTGATTTTGAATTTTTGTTTAATAAGGTATATGGCTTTTTAACTATGTTGCCATTGTGAAATGTGTGGTGATTGCTGAGGAGTACTATTGTATTATGAATATTATGACCATGTGAATTTCAGTATAACCAATGTCTCCTGTTTTGAGCCTTCACATTGACCTAGGGAATATGCAGACATCGCAGAAAAAATTTTTGTTTTGACGATGATTTTCTCTCTAATTTTTGTTCTAAACTATCATTAGCATTTCAGGAGATGTGGTGGGTTGCAACAGAAATATGTCGCGAGAAAAGTCTGCAAAAAAGAATGAAGCTGATAAAGAAGTTTATTAAAATAGCTCGATATTGTCGGGACTTCAGAAACTTCAACTCAATGTTTGCGATTATGAGCGGCTTAGAAAAGCCTGCTGTTCGAAGATTGCACCACACTTGGGAACGTGTTCCAAGGTTTGTTAAATGCATGTTTTTCGTTGGAAAGTTTTAAAGTTTTGCTATTTCAGTAAATATATGAAAATGTTCGAAGATGTGCAGCATTTGGTAGATCCGTCGAGAAACATGTCGAAATATCGTCAGCATCTTGCCATTGTTTCACAGGAACCACCTGTTATTCTTATATATCCGGTGCTCAAGAAAGACTTGACATTTTTACATGAGGGTAATCCGACATATTGTGAAAAGTTAATCAATTTCGAAAAACTGCGGATGATTGCGAAGGCTATTCGCGCAGTTACTAAACTGTGCAGTTCCCCTTATGAAATTGGCGTTATGGCTCAACAAGTATGACTTCTTTTTGGTAGTGCTTTCGTTTATTATTTAAAAGCTCAATGTCTGGTTCCGATGACCAGAGCTATCTTATTGATGTGCGGTTGTAACGATAATTTACATCAAACTCGATGGAGCGTACATCTCCCGAGGAATATTACTCATGATGTCAATATGTATCTTATACAGACTTCTCTTATGAGCAGAATTCATATGCAGACGATCAATTTAAACAAGTGAAGCATAATTATGATTAAATTTGAAGAGTGGTGGAAATGATGTTAGCGATGCGTTGGTTAATATGAATAATTTTGATGGCGGTGCAGGGACAGTTGCTACAATGAGGAAAATGGGACCAAATGCAAGTTAGTTTATTCATAGCTCTTAATATCTTTTTGAAAATTTTTATTGCATGTTTGATCGAGAATTTTTCAGGGCGATGCGAATCTTTTTAAAGGAAGTCTCAGCTCATATGAAATGTTAAGAAAGAACTGGAGAAAAAACTAAGTGATCCTTATTAAAAATCTTCAAATTTTTAGTGAAAACTGCAACACAGCCACGGCGCAAGTTATATGAACAATCTTTAATGGTTCGGAAAGTCAAGTCCTACCTGTCAAATCTAAATGTCGTTGAATGCGAGGCGGATTTAGATCAACTTTCATACGAATGCGAACCGTCATACGGTAGCGCAAGCGTGACACGACGCAGAGCTCCATCACCGTCACCTTCGAGCTTGTCTAGTCAATCAAGTACTTCTGATCAGCACAGAATATCGGCTCCAAAATTTGGTATTTTTCAGTTGAAAACAGTTCTCCAATTTCCTTTAATTGTTTGAGTTCGGAATTAACGCAATTTTTTCTCTGCAGGTGTAGAGTCACCGCATGCAGTACAAAAAATGCTTTCATTAGCTCAGAACTCACGTTTGAAGCAGGGTAGCAGCGGAAATTTGATGCCTGTAAGCCCGCTTCAGTCTCCTTTACTGTCTTCAAAAGGTGTTCGCTTACGGAATACTCCATTGCCAGTTCGTCGTGTTCCTTCTGCTTCTCAGCATCATTCAACTGTCACCACAACCTCCGATGTTCAGCCAGTGGATCTCAATGCCGAAAGTAGTTCTGTGACAAGTTTATATGCGCCCCGCATAAACAGTAGTGGTAAATTTTTTTATTGCTGTTTAAGGTCCTATCTGAAGTTTAAATACCTAAGTCTTTCAAGATTTTACATTCAACAGTTACTTTCTTTGTCAGGAGGATTGTAAAGTGGTCTACAAAGCTGTTGATGTACAATATTTACCTCTAACCAGTTCGGCGTACTTCCTCTCATTGTCAGTGGTGTATCTATATTTTTTAATATAAAGTCAAAATCTTGGTATGTCATATTTGCTCAACCTTTGAATAATTAAAGCTTGTAATAATTTTTAGTAAAGGGAGAGAGGTCCGAATACTTTCTAAAGCTACCAGGAGACGATTTGTACTTGATGTACGCACATTCCTAACCTGTGTTGAATGAAGTTTGTTTTAAAATAGTGCTTATAGATTCAACAGTATTCAACTCAAAGAAAGCTTTTATTTAGCTTTGTTTTCCAGTGACTCAAGCAAGATATTTACACAGTGTGCAGGGAATGTCAGTCCTGATTTCCATACATATATAAATAAACCAAGATTTGGATGAGATCCTACTTTCTGGATTTCGGAAGCACTATGTCATGACTTAATTACAGAATTCAATTTGTTTGTTATCTATACTGAAGCTCAAAAGACACTCTGTAATGACTCTCCCTTCTGATAATAATGTCAGCGTTATCAAAACAGGTTAGGAAGTTGAAAAAATTGGTTTCCCCACAGTTTTATATTTTCGTATATACCAAGGATCACGATGGTAAAAAGAATAGGTAGCCCTACCGTTTGAAATCATTTTAACAATCATTTCTTTTTTTTGATTTGATCTGCCGAATTTCAGGATCGATGCGATTCGGCGCAAAGCGGGTTCCAGTGATGCCTTGGTTTGGCTCGTGTTTTGTTCATTTACTCACGGGTTGTTTAAATTTGTGCACTGCCTCATTTATACGCCATTTATTGTATATATTGCCTAAGCATACACATTTACGACTGCTGCTATGGAAAGCACTCTATTGCACTCATTTTATTTATTGCATTTATATGTATGGTCAAGCTTTCTTCTAGGTGAAAAAGACGAAAAAATGATAGATGGCAATACAATGTATTCACTTTCAAGAAATATCGATTCAGATTTGATGCTCTGCATTTCCTCAAATAGTAGTCGGCGGTGTCAGTGGACTATTTATTATAAATAACAGTAAAAACATGCAGATGTAGAAGTCTTGAGTATTTCAAAATTAGGTAAATAAGAATTACAACGTCAGTTATCTGCGAACAACTGTAGTCCAACCATCTTCATCAGTTTCCATGCATCTCCTCGACGGCTTCTTGGCTTGCTCTTTTTGGATTTCATGCTTGGGTTCTTCATAGTCACTGCATTCTTCATCTGAGTTGTCTAATACCGCTTGACTTTCTGTCGCAGCAGTTTGTACAGCACTTTCGGACGGTAAATGGGACAGAAAATTCTCAAGATCTGCTTTCTCACATTTTCGCAACCACAAATGACACTTTAGTAAAGATGAAGCAAGCCACTCGATGCTATTATCCTGAAAACACTTGAAAAAATACCGCTTTACAATTTTCTTGCTCTTGATAACAAACATTGCAAAAATTTACTTAAGAAATTCCAAAGCAGTAATTCCGAAGAAGTGTTTCAAAGCAGAATAACGAACCTCTAAAATGAGATTAAATTCGTTATCCAGAATGTCACCTATCCATTCGGTCAAGTTACAAACTCGCTGGTTCTGCGAGTTGAATACATGATCGGCCAAAACCTAAATAGTCTGTCTCGCAGTCTTGTTTCTATTAGCCTCAAACAGGGTTCATGTAGTGCTAAAGCAATGCGTAGCAAAGAGCTGCATTCGTCCCCATAATTCGCTGCTCGAAAAATTTTCTCGGCGAGTGTCGCTAATTTTTATATATTAAATTAAAAACATTGCGCTAAAAAACTGAACAAGACCTCACCTCGGCGAACCACTCAGCTTTTTGATAAGTTTCTGGCCCACCGGAGAGCATCTGTACTCCCAACTGGTATCCCGTCCATGCTTTCAATAAGCGATTTACGCAGTGCATCCAGTCATGTTCCATGTGTTGGACACTGCAAATCCATTTAATCCAGCTGATAAAACAATTTGACGCAAACCGAGGATCACCCTCAAGCGCATATCTACTACTTAAATCTCGAGCCAGTTGGCGCCTGGCCGAGTCCATTTATTGACTAGCTAAACAAGCTTAAAACAAGTTCAGGGTACCAGTTGGGAGTACGGATTGATGATATCCATCTACTACCAGCCACATAAACTTAAACTTAAGCATCGGCAAATTTTACTGGAACTAAATTACTGAAAACTCCCCCACGCGAGAACTTATTCTGATACACCTTACTAGGCCTTCTCTTTAAATTCCACCGATCTTCAATATCGTCCATGCCCCCCATCAAGTTTCATTTTACGGATCTTTCACTACCACACCTTCGCTGGCACAGAAAGCAAAATTTTACTCAATGCTATGCACGAAAAGCTTAAATGGAATCTGAAATGAGATTGGATGTCGTCAGCCATGTAAACCCTTTTCATGGAACTTAAAACTGACAATCGTGATGATTGATTCCTTACCGATTTTCCACACAAACGAACATATGTGCAGACGAACGAGACTTATCTTCTCGATAATGGAAAAGTAATTAAAAAAAATTAACGCTTGTAAAACGTACTTGTAGGCGGCATATGACGCACAATCAATAATTTATATAAAAGATACTGATTACACAAAAATATAACAAATATGTTTTAATTGATAAATAACAATTACATAATCATGACCGAATCTGGGCAACAGAAACCTGCCATACACGAATAACGTTATCAGTATATCCAGCATATAATGTTTGACCATCAGCGGACCAAGCTAACGAAATACATTGTGGAGGTGCAGATTTCCCACCGCCCATAACATCAAGTTTCAATTCATCTACAGGTTTCTTGTCCTCCAAATCCCAAATTTTAACCACAGGTCCTACTGCAGCACAGAGCCAATACCGATTAGGTGAGAATGCCAATGCATTGATAACATCGTTGCCGCCCAAAGTATACAAGTGTTTTCCCTCATTCAAATCCCACAACATAGCGTTACCGTCCTGAAAAAAGTGATACGTAATGCAAAGATATTAAATACAAGACGATGAAAATCAAAATTCTTCATACATAAATTAATATTTAGCACAAAAATTTAAAGTGTCGCCATTCAACTTTTCATACATAAAATCTCGACATATCTCACCTTTCCGCCCGAAGCACAAAGTGAACCATCCGGCGATACAGTAACAGTGTTGATATATCCGGTGTGTCCAATATGGTTCGTCTTCAGCTTACAGTTAGCAAGATTCCACACTTTCACAATTTTGTCCCATCCTGCAGAAACAATCACAGGATTTGAACTCGAAGGCGAGAAGCGTACATTTGAAACCCAATCTGTGTGGCAATCTTCCTGAAAGAACGGCAATAAACAATACATATCACAACAATCGATAAATGTATTCTTACTATTTATGGCATTGTACAAAATGAATTACAAAAACAATGAAATTTGTAAAGTATTGCACACCCTTATTTCATTCATATCTCATCTTAAACTTCAACATTCAAAATACGCACATTAACTGTATATTTGCACTGAGCTAAAGTGTTCCACAGTTTGATCGTTTTGTCCCGTGATCCCGACACGATCTGTCGATTATCAGCAGAAAACGCGACAGACAATACATCCTTTGTATGTGAAACGAACTGCCTTGATGTTACACCTCTGAAAATTGAGTTTCGAAGAATACTGTTTAACAGATACACATTTTGCTGACATAGGATACAGTCAAAATTTATTACCTTTACACCTCTGTCTTATTTTTCATATATTAGTAATATGCATACACTACTTCCAAATATTTAGCAATATTTTGACTTACGTAGTGAGATCCCACAGTCGTAGAGTTTTGTCCCATGAACCAGAAAGAGCGAATTGGCCATCGGATGACATCACAACATCAGAAACAAAGTGACCATGACCCTTCAATGCTCTTTCAGCTTTTCCACCTAACTGAGCCCCGTAACTTCCGGACAAATCATCCGTGTCCAACTTCCACACAATTATTGTTTTGTCTGAAAAACTGCAGATTTAACTTTCTACTATCTCACTGGTACCTCAATTAAATTATGATTTCCTCCACCACATTCTGCTTTTAAAAATCAATAGTTGATGGTTAGGCAATAACAAAAAAACTTCCACAATAATTTGTCATCCCAGCAAAAATAATTCCTACCTCGAGAAGAAGAAATAATCATATTCGGATAACGAGCATTTGTTGCTATTTGTGTCACCCAACCATTGTGACCTTTTAAAGTCCCTTTCAACTGCATTTGTTCTGCCATTGCTGCCTAGATTTTTACATAAGCAATAGAACACTTGACAACTATTGTAATAAAATTAAGAAAGCGCATGAATTCAAGGACAACAACATTCCGAACATATAATGGCTTACAGTGCAATTCAACAACTAATGTGATTTGCAAAAGTATTTTGCAATATAATTTTTAATGGCTAAGACTCCCATTGTCATTTAGGGCAACACATATGTATCTCTTGAGAGAAATAATTATGACCGGATACTGCTCTCTATTAACCTCTCGAGAAACAAATTCATACCGTTTAATCTAACCATCACTGTTGGTCTACCCCACACATGTTAACTCCTGTGATACATACATGGAAGAGCTAAACCTGTTGGCTCTCGCAAAGGGGGTATCCCAGGCAATTCCCCGACATCCCCCACGAATCCCAGACTAACCCAATCCCAGCACTTACCATCGTCCAAGTATCAATCATCAACCTACAACTGAGGCTACAGGAAATGCGGCCCTGGAGATGGCGTTATGCAATTATCCGGTGTAGATGTTGAAGAGAGCTTGTCAGCTGTGTATGATTTTAATGTGTTGATGTGACTGGTTCCCGGTCGTTGTATCGTGGAAGTTGCTTTACTGTGGAGAAGTCTTCTCATCGAATTATGCGAATTAATCGAAGAATGCTTCAGTAAATTAAATCTAATGTTGTGCTACGGTGAAATCAAAACAGCGTTGCTTGATCTAACAAAGGAATGTCACAAGCTTTGGGAAGAAAATAAGGATATGCAGGGTCGATTCGTAAATTATCTGGCGGAATTGCACCGAATGCAAATTGCTGTGAGCCATCTTGAACGTGATCATCGGTAAGCGAGTACTATAGTGTTTGCATTTCAAAACTTTCTTGGCTTCTAATGTTATCTGTCCGAAGCGTACACCACGCACATCACATTCGTGCAAATCATTGGACTTGCAAGGCATATTTCTTTTTAGTATGTATTGAAGACAGGTTTCGTGAATGGTACTCTTGCCACATGAAACAAACATTAAAAAAGTCGAATTGCTTCATGAATGTGTGAATTTTGCGTGGTGCGGCAAATTTAGAAGATAAGATAATGAAAAGAAAGACAGTTACCGATGAAAACACCAGGTTATGCAGTTACACTCCGTCATTTTTCTAGCCTTTGTCGTATTAGGTATGAGCGCTTTGTTATAGGGACGACAAATTATCACAGGCACGGACATCAGTAAGTGATATGCAAAAACAGGCAAGCCAGCTATACAGTGCGCTTATGGAGAAAAGGTGTAGTCTGACGCAGAAACTAAATGATGGAGTGCATAATGTCGCACTGTTGCAAAATCAGCTGATTAGTGATTACTTATATGACTGGAAAAACAGACAAAAGCTTCAACAAATTGGCGTGCCGTTTGAGGAACGCGACCAAATGATTGATGAAATACAAACGGAGTAAGCATTCTTTACCTATTCCTCTACTTCCCTCTTCATGCCTCTGAACGCAACATGAAATTATTTTTTCTTTTCCTTTTTTCGCGTGATAATGAGTACGGCACTTGTTATTTTATTGTTATTTAATCTAATTCATTACATGCTAAAATGAGAAATAAAGTTCGAGATATCAAATTGCTAGTCGGTACTTAAGCGATGATACACGTTACTTATGCGGCTTTTCCTGGCCACAGATATGTTATGCTAAATAATATTTTTTCGGCTACAATCACATATTGTTTTATTTTCAAACCTATTTACCTTTTGAAGATTCGAAATGTTAGCGGAACAGAACTGGCAGCTGAGAACATATGCATGTTGGCAGATGGATTTGCTTCGTCGAGGTTGGCATTTTTTTTAAAAAAAAAAAAACTGATGTCAGTTTGGAACGGAAATTTCGTTTATTTTTGTATCTCACACCTATCATTTTTCACTTTGCCCACACACCGTTAGATAATATCGTTTTTTTGAATAAAAAGTGTCTCTATTCTCGATAGTATTGGAAATCTTCGTGCATCTTAATGCATTTACAAAATTAGGAACTAATACTTTATAATTTAAGAGCTTCTTCAGGTCCACAAATGAATGGTCATATGGCGCAGACGCACATTGCAAGTTTGAATTCGGTGCTAGATAACCTAACAAAGTTGCTGTGTATGTTGGTTTCCCAAAGTTTTGTTGTTGCCATCCAACCTGAACCGGTCTTGAAAACACAGCATAAATTTCTTGCGGAGGTGAGACTTCTTATTGGCGATAAATTGGGCATCAAACAACATCTTGTCAATACTAATGTCACTGTTCGGATCATTGCTGAGGAAGAAGCTCGGTTGCTTAGCACTGCACAGCTGTCCGAAAAAGACGTGTAAGTGTAAAGTTAATTATGTACGTGTAAAGTTAATTATGTGCAGGAAAGTGATTCAGGTGGGTTAGTCGATTTGAACAATAATTTTTTGAAAGGCGGTTATTTTTATATTTTCAGTAAAACTGTTGGTTCTATAAGCAACGACTTCGAGAAAATGACTACTGATGATAAAGGCCACATGTCTGCAAAATTTAGCAATTCGGTAAGTTTAATTTTTGTTGTAATCAATTTCTTTTTATGTAGGCATGCTAGATATTCATCAGTTCTCTTTTATTAACTAGTTATTTACTGAAGCACATGTTCTGTTTGTGATTTTATAAGCATTAGTGCAGAGTAGATGTCAATTTATTTCTTATTATTTGTTAAATAGAAATACAGTGAAGTTTATTTTTAACTATTATTGTCCACTTGATACGTCAACTAACTTTGTAGAAGCTGACGCGTATTGCGCATCGAAAGCCGCCACCAAAAGGAGGACAAGGGGACTGCAAAGTGTTGGTGAATTCACAGACAGCTACCGACCAGAAATATGCATTACTTTTTCATATAACTCCTTTTCAACTGGGCAATCTTGGGAAGTTCGATGTTTGGACATTGTCATTACCAATTATGGTTACAGTACATGGAAGTCAAGATTGTGATGCACAAGGAGCCATACTTTGGCAGAGAGCTTTTTCTGATGTGGTTCGCAATATAATAGTTTTTCACCATCACTAGCATTTTTTATAATTTTTGAATGCTTATAGATATCTGAATTTCAGAATCGTACGACTTTATCGCCAGAAATAGGTTCTATCTCATGGAAAGAGCTTGCCCAGGCCCTTCGTCATAAATTTGCAATTTCCACTGGTGCAGAGCGAGCGATCAGCGATTCGGACCTTTCTTACATGGCTGAGAAATTAAAGGTTTCTGCCAATGAAGAAGGACAATTAATAACTTTACATCGGTTTGCGAAAGTAAGCATGGTTTCGACATGCAGCTTTATCTTCTCAAGTCTATGTAAAACGAGCTTCGAAAGATCTTGACTGGTTTTATTTTGTGTGTGGTAATTATAACGTTTTAGCAAAATCTGCGAGATGACGTCAATTTCTCATTCTGGGAGTGGTTTTTTGCCATTATGCAACTTATCAAGCACAAACTTTTGAAGTTTTGGGACGAAGGTTTGTTTTCATTTTTTTTGGTTTGAATATCATTAGATTGTGTTCATGTTGTTGTCGAACAAGTGATGTGACTCTCTTTATTCTGATTAAAAGTTTTTGTTTGTCATCTTTTAGGGTGGCTAATTGGTTTTATAAGTAAACAAGATGCGTCGTCGCAAATGGTCAAGGCTCCCCATCCCACATTTCTCTTGCGTTTTAGTGATACTCAAACTGGCGCTGTTAGTATTGGCTTTGTTTGCGACGATGAGGATGGTAAAGGTAAATTTATTTCTATCATCATGAATATTAAATCACACTGAATTAAGTTCTGTATTTTATGGTCACCATCGTTAATCGCATTTGCATTTCTTGATAAGTTATTCTTTACAAATATTAGATCTAAATTACTTCTCTGAAATCATTTTTGTTTCTTACAGTGCCTTTTCATCTTTCACCATTTTCTATAAAAGATCTCGATCAGTTTTCTCTGGCACAACGTATTGCATCATGCCCACAACTGAAAGATATCAAGTAATTATTTAATAATAGTGATTTTTTTCATGCGAAAATTGGGTAGTCCTTTGTACTTAAATATTGTCAATATTAGATCAGTAGGATCGCATCCCAAAGCAGACTCTGTTACTAACAGAATTTCTACTAATTGAGCATTACAAGTATTTTGTCGAATTTTTTGATGAATCTTGTAAGTGTCTCATAAATGCGTGTTTTAACGATACCATGCTCAGATATCTATATCCGGACATTGATAAAGAAGACATGTTGCGATATTTTGAAACTGAAGAACGACAAAAATCTTTATCTCCAACGGGCTATATTCAGTCTGAAATCGTCATGGTTGCAAAAACTGGAGGGTAACAAGTTTTTCTTTCCGTCTAACAGAACAAAAGGAAAGGAAGTTCTTCTAAGACTTTTTCAGTTTTGTTATTGTTGCTTTCACTCTTTTTCATAAGCTTATTTGAAATAAAATGTGCTTAAAATTCATGTTTTTTAAAATATCACTCACAATTTATAATCAATTTTTGCAGAAGATCTGGGTGTCAAACTGGTGGAGATAGCCCATTATTGTCATTCTCAACACAAACTAAATTGGACTGGTCCCCGGGAGAGATAATTGCTCGAACTCAGTCTACAGAAATGTCAGTTGGTGCACTTTTAATTTTTCGTATTGATTGTAATATTTGAAAGGCAGATACACAGTCACTTGAATACTTGTTAGACGATGGTGACATATGTAAAGTATATGAAATGGTCCTGAATTGAAGGTGACAAAGGATATTGGGTAGATGTGTAGTTGATTCAAGTGTTATTATGTATGCAAATCTTTTCAGGCAAAAAATGTGAGCTTATACTAATTTTTGTTGCCAGATTTTTTTCTTTTGTTACAAGATTTTTGCTTTGCTGCGGCAATATTTTAATTGATTTATGAATTTTCGTGCGAAAAATTCTCGGTTTAGCTAGCTGGGTTTTTTATTTCTCTTTTATGGATTAGATGTTGTTTGCAGGAATGAGAATTATAATAGCGAAGAAATAGTATCGGTGTTGTCAAGCAGTTTTGAAAACGATGTTGAAGCACTGCTTGGACCAGGTTTTCATCAGCAGCTACCTAATCAACCTCTCCAACTTGTCGACATATCGTTTATTGATGGCTGCAGCAGTTCGCTAAGTAAACCTTACGACGTTATGGAAGAATAGTGCCTTCGACAATTTTCATCGTTTTTTAAATGATAAATTGATGTAAAATGCATTGGATTTTTTTTGTTTAAAATGGACTCCTCAAAGTAACTATGTACAGATATACATAATTACTTCCCGTGTAATGAATCTCAAAATTTTATAAGTTATCTGTTGTGATTCCTATCAATTTGCCATGACGTATATTTTTTAAAATGGACTCCTCAAAGTAAGGTTAGATAGTCAGCAACAGTCTCATTAATAGTGTTTCAAGGAAGTGCTGAATAGCAGTATTTGTAGATGTTACATTGGGCTCGCAGTCATTATTAACAGGTGCACAGAACGACTGGATAGTCGTAGTTTCAGTGATGCTTTTTCACTAAATGTCAATGTTCTTCATAAATTGCTGAGGCATCGGTTTTGTTTGTACATGAAATTTACCACTAAATTTATCTTATGTGAAGCTTTAAGTTTCTGATGTATTCATTCAAAGTCTTATTCAAGTGTCATATTTGGAAGTGCCATACGTGTTTCATGTTCCAAGTGATTAACCGCTTTAATGTGTGCCTTTCCAACTCATACATAATATATTGTTTTTTTGAAACGAGTTAAATAGTCATATTTAGTTATATTATTTATGTATTTAGTTATACTGTATTGTAATAGAATATAATTTCATAGCCACTTTTATGATAACTCACTGCTGTAGTGGACGAAATTAAAGTCCAAACTTTAAATTGGCCACAGGAAACATCAGTTTTTTTTGGTCATAAATGAAGGCACGTCTTCCTGGCATTTGATATGCGCCACGTATTATACCATTTCGTTTAATTCATCTAATAAGCTTGTTAACAAATTCTTATTTGGCTTGCATTCATTTTCATGTTGTTTCCGTGGAAAGCTACTAATAACTGGTTCAACTGCAGGAATCTATTTATTGTGAAAAAGAAACGAAATTCTTAAATTCAACTATGAAAAGAATGTAGAGTTATAAATAATAGAAATGAAAATTAAATCATGGTGGCCTAACATGGTTCTGTCTATAAATCATTTTTTCTAACCAATGATTCAATTCACAACGATATTAGAAAAGATGGATGTATTGCATTAAAGAAAAATGTTCACAGAAATTCACCCATACCGAATAGGAGAGTGTATGAAATATTGACGCCATGCATACACACATACTTGTACACACCAAAACACATACACACACATAAGCATACTCGTACTAACACAGGCACATGGTGCAGTTGACGAGGATGATGTTCACGACTGCAAGCGTTGTTGATCATTCGCCTCGCTAAGTTGTCGGAAACTTCAAATCAGAAGACGAATTGAATTGAATTTAACGCTTTCATTCATCCATTCATTTCCCAGGAAGAATCATATCGACGATACTTTCCCTCTCTTTCTCCTCTCTCTCCATGCTTCCTGTTTTCTTCATTCAGCAAGTAAAAATAACTGCCCTCACATTCAACTTCATATTTGCAGTAAGTTGATATTATTATTCATTCCAAAAGAATAATCAACCATATCACTTTCCATCTTTCGTTTTTTTTTGCTTTTCTTTTTGACGTTTTCCTGTTAATTGATTACTCAACCATAAGATAAGCAGGCATCCTTTTTTGTTTACAATTATTATATATATATATATATATATTGTTCTCACTGATTTGATGATAATCAATGATTGTTTCATTAATTATTCACATCGATAAGTTCACATTTATTCATTGTTATTTATTTTGCTTTCCATTACTACTTTTATTATTCTTAAAGTATAGAAACCTTTTTGTTTTTCTCTCTTTCTTTTATTTATTCAGTTTATTTCATTATGGAATTCCAAATAAATATGTTAAAATGAGTAAAATTGCGAGCAATAGCTGTCATTAAATAAGTTTGTCCCACAAATTTGTCCCATAAATATGTTAATTTTTGAATTTTTCAAAGTTTAATTTTTTCCATTTTTTAAGCTTTTTAATTTTAACATTAAATGAGCGCTTAGAATAATTTTAAATACTGAAAATATCGTATAGCTTTTAGTCAGAAGAAGCGTTAGGAATATAGTTAGAAGTATGATTGAATTGTTACTCTTTGAGTAATGCCTAATGTGCAAAACAACGTAAGCCAGTTTTCGTCCTTAGAGAAATTCAACGCGATACTTCATTTTTTTCTTTTTTTCTCTCACCATTTATATCGATCTATAGCAAATATTCTTGCGACATAGTATATATTTATTGCAGTTGATTTCGATTTTCTCATTAATTATTGCTATATTCTCATGGTTTTCACCTCCAAGTGCCGGAATTTCTCCCATTCCTGTTGCAGATCATCATCAGGTATGTTTATAAGCGTGATAAAATCGGAACTATGTAATGTTTTATCAATTTTAAAATATGAAGATTTGGTTTTTAGAATCATTTATGTATCGGAAATAAATGTTCTTAACATATTTCCAGCTATGGTTGAATTGTGTAAATTGCATATTTTTAGTACGCACTTGCTGTGTTTTTTGTTGGTACAACGAGCATTTCAATATTTTTGTTATCGGCACTCGGAATTGTCTCATTGGTATTATGTAGCTCATTTTGTATGTTTCTGGTATGTATATTTCTAAGTTTACTAAGCTTATTCCAGGTTTTTCATTACTCCTAAACTAATAAACTTTCAAATTGTTTTTTAAAATATATTAGATAAGAAGAAACAAAAGGTCATTAGCTGTCAATACATACTTCACTAAAATAATGACTAAGCAATGATGAATTAGCAACAAACACCTTTAGTTATCCTACTGGTATATTGCAATATACCAGTAAACGACTTCATTTTCGTGTATCAAACCTAAAATTTAATCTTTTATTTAAAATCAAATCAACACGGTTGCAACACTGATAATCTGATCAGTAAGTATGACTTCGATGGTAAGCCATGTAAGTCTTTTTCGGGAAATTACTAAGTGTTGTTAAGTGTTATCTAGCATATGGTTAGTCAGGACTGCTGTGATGATTGTGATGTAGCAATATCCCGTTTGTTTTTACATTCATTTTAGTGAAATTAAAAGCAAATCAGTAATGCAAGACGGGGAAGTCTTGTGCTCATTATGCTATTGCATTTCAGTAGCACTAAAAGCATCACTTTTAAAGTCAAAGTATGGATAATACTTCGGTGAAGATTGAACTACAATATTTCCCTTTAAATGCTATTTAAATTTTGTATAATTTTAATTTTACTCAATATTAGCATAATTCCATATTATCCGTATAAATTATTTCATTTCCAGTATATTGTGATGTTATTGATACAAATATCTGTTCAGTTTATTCTCTCAGCTTTTGCTTTTGCCAATCAACGTAAGGTATATTTTTAACAAATTGTTGCAAATAAAATTAAAATAAAAGAACATGCATAAGATATTTCTGAAATCGTTGATTAATTACCCATCCGATACCTTATTAAATGGAATGATTTGATTGTTGGTTGTTGTCTGTTTCGAAAATTTCACAGCGATACTTAGTCATAAATGCTGATCCAGGTTATTAGACTCTAAGAAAAAAAGACTGCAATGGAATATTTTAATTTTTTTCCATGCATTTCAGATACATGCAAAAATAATATCTCAATGGCGTTTACGATCAGTGGAAAACGTTAATAATGATTGTGGTAACGATGCTGTTTGCGGTAAACATTTAGAATTGTTTAATCAAGTTGAACGAATCATTTTCATATCATTGTTGGTATTTTTTTCATTTCAGGTGAATTGTTATTTTTAACAATAAATAAAATTTCTAACTTACTCTTTCGTCCATCCACGCTCTTTTAATTTTTGTGCTTGAGGAAGGTAGCTATTAATGAGGTCATTGAGATGTGAAAAGTACATCGTGACCATCTGTTTACAAAGATCTAAAAAAACAACAAATCTCCATTAGTAACATATATGTATAACTGATGAGTAAATTTAAACAGCATTGTTTGATAGTTGATATTATGAGCTTTTTTTTACGACTATATGTTAATTGACTAGTGAGAATTATTTTAATTCTTAACAGCATATCAGCATAAAACAAAATAATTGAATAAATGAAATTTTTGCAGGTCTTACTGTTATTTATTAGTTGTTGCTACTGTAATTATTTATCAGAAAAGGAACGGCGCGAAATGATTGAAAAGGATAACGACTGAAAATGATGGAGATTAATTTTAAATTGATTAATCATAAATGATATCAATGATTCATCGCTGTTTAACACTTGCTTTGAATTCGCTCAATTTGCCAATGCTATAAATGATTAATTTTTTAAAATTAAATTTTCTCAAGTTGAAGAGGGTAATTGCATAATGGAAAGATGATAGTTCCAGCAATGGTTTTATAAGAAGGGTTAGACGTGCGGGGAACAAGACGAAAGAAGGTAATAGTTGTCAAATATTCTTCAAACATTACATTTCTTAATTCGTATTGAAGATTTTCTTTGAGAAATCGCTTTGATTTCTGCGGAAAATATCAAAGAATTTGTTTGATTTAGAAATTACATTTACGCTATGTGTAACGTATATTTGTTTATCACATATGTTTAAATATGTTTTCAGTTAAATTTTGATTACCGTATGTTTGCGTATAACGTCACAATATCAGCATTTAGCCACATGCAAGTAAATTGCATTTAAAAAGTAAAAAATCAATTTTTCCTTTTATTTTTTTTTTGTGAAAAACTATTTGGGTTTTGTCAAACATTAAAAACAGCCCTATGCCATTCGATGCATGTCATGAAACAGTAATTGAATTTATATAAGAATCAATACAATAGCTTGATGGTTGAAATAACATAATCTTATACCGGAAAAGTTGCATTTATAATAAAGCCTGATGTTGAGATAACATTGCGAAAGGAACTGCTTCTTGCAAGAAGACATTACCGCTCCTAGAACCTCCTAGCTTCCAAGCTATATGCAGGAGCGTTAGTTAAACTCAGTGATGTCCCATAATCATTTGATTGTCTTGATAGAATTTTCAATCTTCTCCTTATCTGTAAGGAACCTTTACAATTTTGCTCAAATTGAAATTATAGATCAAAATAGCAAAATATTTTATATTTCACAAATGTCCCGCGGACTGTAACAATCTCGGAATACGACTAATTATATAGTATAATTGTTGATAACTTGAAAATATTTTTTAATGAAAATTTTAACAAAATAAATAGAACAAGTGGTAGGAATACTGCAAAAGTGACAAATACAAATGAAACAACAGGATAGGGAAGGTAGGTAATAATGTTGGACCAAGAAATTTGGCAATTATTTATGAATATTAACGAGGAATTGGGTTTCAATTTCGATATCATTGAATAGTACTTCAAGATCAAAACAATGCATCTATATCAAAGAGTGAAGGTCCCATGCTGCAAAACCGTTTACGTCAATGAAATCTATAATGAGAATTTCAAAATTGCCAATAATACAATTAGCATAATAATCCACCAAAGAATGAATTAGCATTAAGTGAAATTAACTTTAGGTGGCATATTATAGATCAAAACATTTTCATCAAACTCATCATCAATTGCTTCCACATGCCATGTTTGTTCTAATTCTGCTTTCTAGAAGAAAAAATAAAACATAAATGTGATAATGATATGATATGAGAATAGCAGGAATTAAGTGAAAATGGATGGAAAAGAGAAAATAGAAACTGAAGAAATTTACATCCTTAAAAGTAAAAAGATTAATTCAAAACGGATGATTTAAATGTTTTTTGCAAACTTACTTTTTTTAAATAGCGAAAATATTTCCAACAGAGCCATATGATTACAATACAGTAACAGTGTAATACAGAAAAGATAGCACTTCCCATTGCAAGTATAATAAAACGGCCTAAAATATTAAAAGTTCAATGAGATTAATTAAAGTTTATTTACTGCCAGCGAAAAATGTTTTGCAAGAATTGTCATTTTTGGCTAAGATATTTTCTTTTTTTATTTATTGTACAATCAGTCTTATAATCAAAAGAGCAAAGTAATTCAGATTATAATTTTATTGTAAACAATATGTCAATTATATTTCTAAATTTTAATCATAGGTAAACAATAGTTGCTGGAAATTAAAAAGTAATTTAATGAAAGTTAAAGTAAATGACGTTAAAAGAGATGATAAGTTATTTGCCTTAATAATAATTATTTAAAATTCAGGTAAAAAAAAGGTAATATTACCGCCTGGACAAGCATCAATAAGAAAGCAATGAAATTCAAGAAAGGTTGAAAAAGCAAGTGTTAATACCATTATTACGCCTAATAACATCTAAAATATTAAATTTAAGAATTTGTTTTTTATGCGAAAAATTAGATGAAAATTGAAAAACTGTTTCATTCAAATTTCAATTTCAATTTTATTTTATTTAATATATTTTTATGAGAAGTAACACATTCTGTGATTACCGGAATTATTAACCTGAATAACTATCAATGGTAGCAAATATAATGATGATTCTTTCCATATCCCATACTGAGCCAATAATATCACAAACAATATTATTGTACTTGCGATAGTTACATATATAATAGAGGATGAATCAATCGTTGTGATATCAATAGTGAAATCAGTAATAGCTAATAAAATTATGTAAAATACAGTTAACATTGTTGCTGATGTCTGAAAATTGTTTAATTTTACTCAATTTTTTTAAAGGAATTCATTAAATGATTTCATTTTAGTCTAATTTTCTCTGTATAATCGTAATTTACAACAAAAAAATTCTGATTAAATTCGATAAAAAAAAATAGATGATTATCATAAATGATATCGTATGCCATCAAGTAAGTATAAAGTTAATAGATTAGATGTATTGCATTAATACTATCAAATATTTGGCTGAAATATCTTTTGGCTACTGAGCTATTATTCAATCTACTACATTTGAGTAAGCATATATTTGAATATGGAGTATTGTTAGACTAAATTATAATTAATTGATATCTCATAATTTATGTACCAAAGAAAAAAAAAAGTTGTATTTAAAAAAATTTCCATCTTAAATTCAATTTAGGTATAATTCCCAATGAAACAACCAATACCTTGATATGAATAGTACCGAAAAAAGTATAGCTATTGTGTAATTTATAATTAGCAAGCTGTTTAGCTGGATGATTATCTCCTTTCATACTGTTTTTTGGAAAGCCCAATGATCGCATACACTTCTGAATTTTGGCCAATGAATGATTTTTTTCGCGGAGCTTCCAAAATTAACGATAAAATTAACTGACTAAAATATACTCATTAAATTAAACATTTTAATTTCTTGTAAAACTAAAAAATCAAAATCAGCTTTTGTTGATGAGTGTTCTCTCACTTATTGTTGATACATTTCATGTTTCACATGCAATTCTAAATGTGATAAACTTGACTTGCTTATTTATCATCAATTTTAATTTGTTCTAATCAATGTAACAATTTGATTAGCATTTTATCAAACCAAATTAGGCATTAAATATCAAATTGCTATTGTAAACAAAAAATTTCCAATGCATTGGAATTTAACTCAAAATCGAAACTGAATATAATTAATAGTATAGTAATTTGCTAAAATATAATTGTGGCTTGAAAATAAATTGGCTCAAACTTGAATTTATAATTAACTTTTATTTTAAATGAAATTAATTCAGAAAATTTTAATTATTCATAGCCGTTGCAAAAACATTTCCTTTTATGTTAATTTAAGTAAAACATGCACTATTTTGAATTTTCAAAATATATTAATGAAATTATCTGGTCACTCATGTTATTCTATAGTTGCGACATATCACCTCATATTATCTTCTCCTTGAAAATCTTAATTTTAAAGCCTAAAATTTTACAAAATATCGTTATGAGCGTCCACCTGCGAGGATACATTAGTAAAATCTTGACCCAAAGCTGCCATTGTTCTGATCTAATTTTACCTGAAAATTTTGTATTCAAAGTATGCATTTTAAATAATGAACCGTAGAAGCGCATTTTTCCTTTTATTTCGAATGTAGATATGGTCTAAAAATCTTGATCATATCGAAATTTATAGAAAGCATAATAATTGAATGAATGAAAAAAAATTTTGACCTTTATACTGATATTATAAAGTATACAAGTTGAAATATTTAAAAGATTGAATAATGTGCAAGCTCCTCTTAGAAAAACGATAATTACTCAAGAAAAGTTAATTAATCAGGACACTATTTGGAAAACAGTACTGAGTAAGATATTTCACTTTCAATAATCTCTAAAGCGCCAAACAGAATTTCCAGAGCATTCTATATCCGCCAAAAATCTACAAGCATTAAATTGAGAGACATCTCAGATACAACATTGAGACTTTTACTGTTTTAGGTGCAATTATTGTCTAAACATATCGCAGAAAAATATTCTAAGTTTTAATTTGGTCTAAATCACTTATCAGACATTTTACAATCTGAGTCTTATTTATATAAAAGATAATTTATCAATTTATAACTATCATCAAATATTATACTATGACAATCTTGAGATTATTAGCTAATATACCAATTTTAATATTTATGCAAAATTTTTAGAAATCAATCAATTAATAAATACATGAAGAAAGTTTCTAGAAATTCTACAAATTTTTGATAACAATTGTTCTAAAAGAAAAAATTTATATCAGATATTTTACATAAGTAAAAGTTTCACTAATAATAACATTAATGTAATTCAATTTTTACTAATTTTAGGAGTAAATAAATAATTCAATGGTACATATTAAGCTAAGATAATCCATATGGCTATTGCTGTTAGCACAATACTGATTAATTCGCGCAGATTATTTTTGATTTGCATATACACGAATAGGTCATGATCAAATTTGACCGCTACTCATAAATCCATTACAATTCCATTCTAATTATTCAACACGAAATCAAGCGCTGAGAGTAGGGTATATCATAGGGTATATCTTCCAAAAAGTTCCTTTAGATTTGTGGAAATTAATTATATCTAAGATTTTATTTATTTGAGAGATTAGTCTGTGAACTTTGTTTTTACTAGCAAGGGATTTTTAGCCTTTGCAAGTGAAAAAAGACAATCTCAGAAATGTCCGATTTTGGTATTGACAAATTTAAGAAATAGGACTCTTTCTGTATTTCAGATGTTTATTTATCGCCGATATTAAATTCATGGAATGCTTCAATTTAGTCGAAATATATTGTAAGATGGGAACCATTTCTTAACGATGAATATTTTAGATTAACTGAGAAATATGCATCGTATTGTCGTACTCTTAACAGTGATTATTTTGTCATCTATTAACACGACAATATCAAAAACTTTTTTCGTGCAAAATGATACAGAGGAAAACAATAGGACAAAGAAATCACGATCTTCATATACAACGGATATTAACTTATCATTGTCACCCACCGTAAGCAGTAATTTGGAAACGAAATATTTAGCGGAAAGTGGATTGGTGCAAAATTTACTTCACGGTTTGCAATTTTGATTTCTTCAATTAAGAAAAAATATTTAGGTCAGGTTATGCATTCAAGATCAGTTACTTTTCTTCCTTACTAATTAGCAAAAAAAGAACTTTTATCATTAGTTTTTTCGTGCAGAAAATAAAAAAACTAGGAATGTATCTGTGTAGAATAAAGCACGAAGTTCCGAATTAAGGTAAAAGTAACTTCCAGAATATAAAGGAAATTTTTACTTTCAGGTGCTTATATGAATGGTTTTGGTCTACTCGACTTCTTAGAAAGTTTACAGCCATCACATTGTTTGCAAGTTTGTTTGGATGAGGTTGCTAGTATGTTGGATCAACCGTTTGCTGGACAATATTCTATTGATGAAGCTGGCAATATTTGTAGGTAATTATCGATGAAAAACATTTCATTATTTGGACTTCGAAAAAGTAGCTGTGCAATACAAATGCAGATTGTATGAGCAAATGTAAATTCAATACAGGTTGTATGTGCAGATTCAATACAGATTGTATGTGCAGATTCAATAAAGATTGTATGTGCAGATTCAATACAGATTGCATATGACAGATGTGGAAAATATCTCTTATATGATTCATTTCTATCTTTCATTATAAAATTTTTAATACTGTTTTCAGCCATTTCGATATATTCCAGCGGTGCCTTCATCATAATACAAGTTGCAAGGATGCATTGCTTGATGTTACCACAGCAGTCATCAATCATCTCTGTACTTTCAATCAAGATGGTTTGTTAAATTTATTTTAATTAAAAATATGTTTTATTTGAAAAAAAGAATAATAGGCTGATTGTAATTATGTAGTATCTATCCTATCCATCATTTATTGCTACATCTTTACTTAATGAAGCAGACACATGTTAGATATAGCTAAATGTTTTCTGAAAGAGATTCTGAAGGAGGTCTAGAGAAGTTCTTTGTATTTCATCTGTCGGATGAAATGTTATTAGTTTGGACCATTTTGTTTTGGCATACACGATGGAAGCGTCGCATTATTTGAAGTCTCTAAAATGGTATTTTTCCATGCTTTAACATTGTTAACTTTTAACTTTTCGTTGAACTGTTCAAATCGGATTTCATACAAGCCTCATTTACATAATTAAGATAGTAATACTAACTTTATGAAGACACTATTCGATCATCCGTTTTGTAGCATTTGGAGATATGTTTCAATGTCTGTATGGTCATTCAGTAGTTATTTACTTCACCTGTGATGCTCAATGCAAGATAGGAGAAATTCTTTCTAAGGCATCAAAGAAGAAAGATCATGTAACAAATATACACGATGGAAATGGGAATACACTCCTCGAAATGATTAATTTTTATGATTTGTGCAGGTATTATTGTCATTTGGTTAAAACCGTGATTCTCAAATCAAAATATTTGTATCTTTATGCTGACTAATTGAATTTCATTTTATTTAACAATGTTTTTGGAAAATAAAATTGATATTTATAGCGCATCGGCATGTTTTATCAAATGCACTCAGGATTTGGTTGAGAAGGAATGTTCAATTGGTCACTCAACCTTATTGGTTAGTTGTTACAAGATTTTTTTGTTATTATGTTTAAATGTCCAAGGACTTAATATCTTGAGGAAATGATACTCCCTCTGTATTTCGGACCCAGAAGTATAAGAAAAATGATGTTGCAAAATAACATAGCGGAATGTTGGATGGTAAAATTAGCCTGAAAAAAAATAAGCTGCCTGATTAAATTACAAGTATCGAGTGATACTAACGTGAAGCGAAGTGATACTGACGTTAAGTGACCTTTTTTCAAATAAAATTGCCATTGTTGAAAAAATTTCAATATTTCATAAGATTTTATATTAATTTACATTGCAGCATAAGATAGTGGCAGCAGTGGTGAATCATACGATAAAAATGATGCCAACTACAGCGGTAAAATCGAGCGATGCTTACACCTTGCTCGTATCCTCTATTTTACCAAATGAATGTCGAAGATTGAAGCTTTTTCCACAGGTTATCATGAACATTTTGTAAAATCTACTAGTATAAATTATCAAAAGCAAGTCTTTTTTATTTCAGGATTTGATATTTACTACGCCAACGACAGATTTTAGTGATGGCTTGGAATACAAGAGTGCTAACAGCGTTATAAAACAAAAGGTAATTCTGTGATAGCTTCATTTTATTTTTTATTATTGTGTTGTGTCATAAGTAAACGATCTTTTTTTCATGAACTTTATTTTAATTTATATTATTAGACGATCTATTTCAGACCACTAATTTTGAAGAAAATGATGCTATCCGAACAATCCCGAACAGTCATGCAGAAAATCAAACAAATTCAGTTTATATGCAAATATTACCCTTGAGTGGGCATCAAATGAAGTTGCAGTGTCAAATGATTGATCTGGAAACTGGACAACAGGCTACCGTTGCAGATATCGCGACATTAATGACCACTGATGCAAGAGTAAGTTGTGATTCTAAGTTTGCAGCTTATACCGACTTATAGTATTCCTTAATAAAACATTTGACGAAGTTGCAGAATATCTTCCATGGTTTACGAAGTGTGGAGGATGATCAGATCTTAGAGAATAATGCAAACTATGACAATAGATCGGCACTACAAGATCGTAAGACTATTAGCAGTAAAAGTAAGTGGTATTATAACTAAATTCTAATTCGCTATGATAACCGAACAATACGATATAACATTCATATACAAGCGATTTTTATATACATTCAGCAAGTTTCGAATATTAATATTTGACTATTTTCTCAAAAAACGTTTGAACACAAATATCTGTTGCGCTTTGACACAAACTAGCTGACAGGCAGTTGCCACTTTCGTGTTCAGATCGGATTTCGCCAAACCCTAGAACCATTGCTTATAAAAAAATCCGACTTGGATATCCAAAATCAATTCGTTTCCCGTATTAAATTACTGAAAATATTGCTAATTGATGCTATACGTGTCTCTATGAAAAAATTAGATAAATTTGGAAGAGAAATTGAATTTCAGGTGAAGTATATGCAAAGGCATCGTCTGACCGCTCATTTCCGTCAGGTGTTCTCAACCCTCTACTCGTATTACTTCTCCAAATCTGTTTACCGATTAGCACCATTATTTGAACTTTTGCTATATATTATCTTAAATTTGTATGCATGCATATCAGTAGAATAGTATGTAATAGTCAACAGAACTCAGATAACTCTATGTATTACATTGTAAGCCATATGTGAATTATCCTAGTATATTTGTATAGAACGATGACCAGAACTATTTGTTGAAAATTCACTCATGTATACTTCGATTAAAAAATTTTATGATCTTTGTCTTCGTCTACGCTCCTCTCAGTTGCATTAAGACCATTTCCATTACTCTAAATAGTGCTAGTGCAGCACTTCTAAACCACCTATCTGGGTTGATATTTTCACATTACACTTGTCCGACAAAACAAAAGTTGATAGCTTCAAATTTTTCTTTCCTTAGAATAAGCAGTGACACCTTTTGCTGAAAATTAAATCTGAATGTCGATCAAGACTACTGATTATTTCCGGACCGATCTTTGCATCTCGCATTATGGAAAGTGCAGTACTTATCATAAGTAGAAGAGCGGTGGGAAAGTTTTTGTAACATTACCAAAGTTCTTTCTTACATTCTTTCTTGTTTAAGTTTATCTCAAACTTGATGACAATGACATAACGCTAAAGTACTCATTCGACATGAATGCATAGCGAAGAACGTCTAATAAGGACAAATGGAACTAAAATAGCATTATAATTGCAGATATCAAACCAATTGTCGTATAGTTCTCGATGGACACATGCAACAATTTCTGATGCTTGATTTGCCAGATGTTAAGAGAGTACCTCCAATCCTCAACGTCATAGACAAGACGCAGCGAGGGCAAGCAACCACTCCGTTTGAATAGTCTAAATCGTTTTTGAATTTAAGAAATAGGCGGAAACCCGCGAAATAAATAACGGCCCGGACGAATAGAAGATAGAAGTTGGCTTTACGTGTGTTGGCATTAAGGTCTTATGGCTGCGAAGTATATTGTGTTTGTGGTTGGTTGCATGGCTTAAAGTGAGATACATAATCATTTGTTTTTATTATCTACTCGTTAAACTGATGGAATTATGACACGTGAATCTGCAAAAAATAAAACATGTGTACAGAAGTATCTAGGAAAAAAATGACTTAGGCATTCCCTAGAAGTTTAGATCATTGCTAGCGCTGTGTAAACAATTAATAAGCACTTCTATAGACTCAATGTGAAATTGCTGATTTCTTTCCGAGCTGTAGCTAATTTTACTCTCACAGTGTTTGATTTGTGACAAATACCTCAATCAAACATTTAAAAGGAAAGAATTGTGAGAATCGGTCAATTGCGAAGTTGCTGGTTCCTACTGCTTTAGAATTTTTGTGAAATTCGTTTTACTCTATCCATCTCCACTTACTCTTTTATTCTTTACCATCCAACTATATCCAAAAATTTGTTTTATTTATCCAACTGAAAAGTTGGTCGCTCTACTGAATAACGTAGTGTATCGATCATTCTAATATTATGCCTATTTCAGTGTCTACGGACTGTAAATGACTTCGGGACCAGAAAATTATGACGATAGTTTGATAATTTTGGAAGAGAATAATGATAGTTTTATAGTGTCTGACGAACAAAGCAATCATCGAGTCATATTGGAAAGTCATTCATTTATTGAAACAGAAAGTGCTGCGGATGTCGTAAGTTACTTCTTTAAGGCGCTCCTGACTATGAAAGACGGAGTTGTCCCGTATCTTAACAACGGGAAAGATTCGATATGGAGATCCCAACATTTATTGTTTAGCCGATAAATTATATAGTGCTTAGATTTGCAAATATTTGGATGTGCTGTGGTGTGTAAAATAGAACAGCTACATTATCATACACCGAGAATTCAGTGAAAAATAAAATAGTTTTTTTTTGGAACTGTGGATCTTTTTAGAATCAAGAACCTGAACAGCCACATTATCGAGCATCACGAGTCATTTGGAGCAGTGATGAAGAGGCTGATGACGATAATGTGAATAAGAAGCGTCGTCGTAGACCTTCTCATAGTGATGATAGTGGAGGTCATATTTCTTTTGAATTCAAAATTTAAATTGTTCAATGTGTAACTTTTAATGGTGATGGCAAATACACTGATTTTGTCTATGATTCGATCTATTAGAAATTTTCCCTTCTTAGTCGCAGAACTTTTAGTTTAAGAGTTTTGTGAGAATTAGTGAAATTAGTCCATTATATGTATATTACAGAGATTGATGGTGACGAAACGAGCAGTTGTTCAATTTGTTTTGAAGCGTATACAATTTCAGGTTCTCACAGGCAAGCCTAGAAGGTTTTTATATACAAATGATGTTCATTAGAACATGATGTTTTCACTCAAGACAAATTATTTTTATAATTATTGAGAATAAACGGTCACACACAATAAGTTTTTAGAATAGTATGTTTGAAGTGTGGACACTTGTTCGGACAATCCTGTATTGAAAGGTGGATTCGAACGGAAAAAGCCGCCAAATGTCCGCAGTGTAAGGCCAAAGCACGACTTGCTGATATACGCCGCTTATATGTACGGGCTGTAAAGGTAATTAATATTTTTCAGACATTTCTCCTCGCTTGATGTTTCAAGGCAATTCAACTTCATGTTTCATTTAGATTTAGAATGGAAAATAAGGGATGGAAATGAGCAAATGAATTCTAAGTATTCAGTTTCGTTTTCCTGTGCTATAGTGTACGTAATAAGATACCAGGAAATTGCTTTTTGCGGTTTGGACGAGAACTGGATCATTAAGAGGATGAGTGCTACCCATGCAATGATCAAAAACGAAATTACAGGCACTTGACACAACAGAACTGGAATGTTTAAAAGAGGCGAATAGCGCATACAAAGCTGAAAATGATAGTTTACGTCTTGAAAACCAGCGTCTAAAAGAAAAAATTGTAAAAGAAGGAAAATGTAATCCATACAAAGCTGAGATCGAAAGATTAAACCTTGAAAATGCACAGTTAAGGGCGAGAATATCCCTTCAGGAGAAGCATGAAAATAAGTTGCGGTAGGTTGTTACGTTTTAATGTTTTTTATTCAGTCTTGTGTTGTGACAACAGTAATAGTTCTCACACTGGCTGAATTTAACTGTTGATGATTGTTGCAGCAAACTTATTCATTCTTAATGATATATTCCATATGTCTCATTTTTTAATTAAATACGGAAATCTCAGCATTTTTTTTGATCTTTCGATGAACAATTAAGGTTATGACACTAATAAGCTTCAAATTAGAATAGATCATGATAATTGTAGGTCGACAACACCTCCTGCTACTAAAGTGATGAAAGGTGCTTATTTTTCAATGCTAGCTGGTCCAATTATTCAGTTATCATCGGAACCAGGTTCTCGGTCGTTGGATACGAATGGCGAATGTTTTGTTGTAGCTTGTAAAGTTAGGAACGATCTATTTATGCCTTATGGATTGAAATTGGTCATTTTAAACTTTATTTAAATTGTTTTTTATTTATTAATAATATGTTGAGTGTTGCACATACTTTCTCGGATTTTTTTTTGTTTTTTGCTCTTGCGCAGTATTTTTACTCTTTTCACACTTAAGTTAATCCACTCCATTCAAAAAAAAATGTGGCTTTATATATGGCATTAATAACTTCCATGTTCCTCTCAACATCGCCTTGCCATATAAATCGTAAAAATATGATATTGATATTTGTCATTGATTGCATAACTAAAATGTTCAACTGCAGTTTATTTCATTGTTGCAGATCACAGCGGATCGTCGTAAAGATACTGTAATTCCAGTCCATAGTAGGAAACCTCGATGCTGTAGATTCTCACCTTTTAATCATCAAATAGTGATATCGACTGGAGAAGACAATACACTTTGTGTTACAAGGTTTGTTGATTGTGGTGAATAGATGGAATAAACGAAGGCGAAATTCTGGACAGTTTTGAAGAAATCGTTGTACTGTTTTTGTCTGCAAACATTATAGATGAGCGTTAAGATTCCACTGGTTAATCAGAATGATCTACGTTTATATGTCTTTGTAAAATTCAGTGCAGCAATTCCAAGATAAAAGATGAGGAACCGTTATCAATTATTGCCGTAAAGTTAATTTTCAGCTTTGATGATCATCCAAGAGTCCAGCATCGCATTCCTCTACCAGCTTCTGGTTGGTGTTGTTGTTGGTTGAGCGAGGATGATGTAGCAGTTGGTCTAATTAATGGTGAATTTCAAAAACCTCTCCATGCGAAATTTTTTTCATGAATTTCACTATATTAACTTCATATTTTTTGTTCACTATTTTTAATTATCTTTTCTTAATTAATAAATGTTATCAATTTTTTTTTTAATTTCCTTATATATTTCAGGTAGAGTTTTGAAATTTAGTCTCCGCAATCCAGCAATTGAGCCGTTTGATATAACTTGCAGCAAGGGACGTTTACCTATCATAAATTTGCAGTTTTGTACAAGGCAATCTTTGCTTTTCGTTACGTCGTTGAAAGAATGTGTGGTCTATCATCACATGCAACCACATGTTTTAATATCTGATGAGGGTGAGTCCTTTGTTCTCTTTAAGGTGTCTTTATGGAATGTAGTGGTAGTTTTTAGTGGTTTAATTTCGCATCGGTTTCAGGTTCTATAAATTCGTTCTGCTATGATCAAGAAAGTAGCAATGTGATGTTAACATTTGCTCCCAGTCAGCATCACGAAACAGTAACTCATATTTTGTACTCTTTGGACTTAGATAGCGAGAACAAGAAACTACGTCATATTCATACCTACAGAAGTCTTTCAAAAAAACTCACACGTGTAATCAGAAGTGCATTTTGGACTACGCCTCACGGCCCACTTGCTGCTGTTTATGATGAGGCTAATTCCCATGTGGTACGTAATATATTTGCAATTTTTTATTGCTCGTAATCTCTACAAAGCGGTTCTGAAGAAAGCTCATGATTATGTAATTATGTCTGAATCTTTTACACTATGTTGATTCTATTTTTATGATTTTGTTCACCCAATATGAGAAATATATAATAAAATAAGACAATCCAATTTTAAGGTTCTTTATGACTGGATACGCAAATGTCCGACGGTTGTGAAACGTATTAACGATATGGTTGTTGATATCAGAGAAATTGTAGCGAGTGACATGCAACATTTTCAATTGGGATGCTTAAGTGAAACAGCAATTTACTTCCTTGAAGCACGATATTAAATTTCTTTCTAACGACTGACTCATTAACACTTTGTTGTAATATGAAGCAGGTTCCATAAAATCTGATGGTTTTGATCTGATTCGACGAATCCCTTCAGTAGCATCTGCAGTTATGGATAAGAGTGATATAATTGATGTGTTAAGCTTCACTGCAAAATTAAGTACATTGTATTATTATGCTTAAAGCAGCGAAAGTTCCTTCGATTTTTCTTCTTTCGTGACTTAAGATTGTGGATAATCATCGAAGATATGTGACAGCAGTTGTTTATCATGCTTCTCTATTTTATTGTACATACCAGTAAGCTATAACTTCATAATGTCCTGAAGTATATCTTTGGGTTTTTTTTTCACTTATTTCTGGAACTGCCGCCATAGGGAATTCACATGCGTCATTCTTGGGTGACCATGTCTGATTGATCTTTAACTTCTTACTATTGTCGTTGAAGTCTCAACGAGTACCAAATGCTCTGCTTATCTCTGTACATTTTTTGATTGGGATAGTTATGCATAGAATTAAGATTCTATGTTTCTTTTTCTTTATTTTGTCCATATATGGGTAAAAAATTCTCGTGCCCAATTCCATATTTCCGGCGTTATTTTTATGTTAATTGCCGTGTATTCAGTGGCAGTGAATTTATATTGATAAAATCTAAGACTGCGAATAATGGTGCCATTTCGGAATAATTATAAAGTGTTTCTTTAACAAGAAATTTGTTTTATGGATGACATGTAACATGTCCTGCAAGGTTTTCGGGATTAAGTCCGAAATGAATCATTAATTGTGCTATGCAAAATGAAATAATGTTATTAAAGCAATTCTCTTATCGGAATGCTCAGACTTTCATCATTATTCCAGCGCTCAAATGACTGTGTGCATGCAACCACAATTGGAACGTGTTGTGGGGGTGCATAAAATAATGCATTAGCAAGAAAATAGCTAAGTAATTGTGTCATTCGCAATACTCTATAAAATATTTCCAATAATAGCATAGTCGCATGGAAATGACGTGCTGTAAGTGGCTCATCACAATTATTTTGCTTAGCATATTCGTCAATTATGCAAGCTGTCAATGATTGATTTGAAAAGTGTGACTATTTGTTCTTAACTTTTGGCATTAACGCGAATTGAATAGGTCAAGTAAAGGGGGCGAGGGAGGGGGATTTGACAGAAAAAGCAATAAAGTATGTATGTATGCATGCGATAATTTAACTAAGGCTATAGGCTTAGTCGATGACAGAAAAAGAAATGAGTTAGAAGTGACACCTAATCTGGAAAAGCTGCTTCCTCCTTTTTTTTCGCATCCTCTACTTGGTCTCCTCGGCAACAAGCGTTTTACTCTATCCTTTTGCACATAAAATTTTTACCTTTTGTAGCCTTTTTTATATTTTCTTTTTATTGATAGCGTTATGTTCAATTTCATCGCTTATTTTCCAGGAAACAAATCAATCGTATGTTGTTTTCCGATTCACATTTCCTGATTGATCAATTTCAAAAATTTTTCCTGATTTTGTTGATTTATGATCGTTGATCTATGATCACTAACTTTTAAATACTGTTTGGCTCGAATTTATCATTTCAGGAATTTAATAGTAATCATTTCAAAAGTAAACTATAAAGTTTACTGGAAAATTTAGCCAATGAAACATCTTCCAATGTGGTTAGAGTGAATAAAGTCATAATGCATTATGCGAGTTCAAAATTAAAAATCGAAAAAAAATAAAAGAAATAATAAAGAATGAATTGTCTTCAGTGCAGCAAATATTTACATAAATTTGACCTGGCATTATTTTATTTATAACACTTCTCTCTATTATTACATCAATTGATATACTATGGTTATTATACCTTGCCCAGTGACTATGATACTGCATCGAGCCTAACGTTGTTGTAATTGAAATTAAACCTTTCGACTGCCATAACTTTAATTTGAATTTAATCTCTCAAACAATAACATCATTAAATGAAGCAGCAGAAAAACTTCCCACCAACTAGCTGTATGATTCTTTATATTCTTATTACTAACAATGTCTAAAAAGCCAATTGAAATCATTTTAGATATTTCTATGACTACAATTACGTGACACATAATGCTCAATGAAGACAGCCAGTTGATCATTTCTTTCTCTCAGTTTCAATAATGATATAACTGATTCGATGGGACAACTGAAGAGTAAAATTTTACATCAAGCTGGAGCAGAAGACATTGATAATTTGAAAGAAGATCCTGACGATCAGTGGTCTAATTTATATCGTGAACGTAAAAAGAATCACCTTTACAAATGGGTTGGCATACGCAGCGGTAAGTATTTGCGAATAGCAACAAAAATTTCGTATCGTAACATGTCATTTCGTACTGTAACACGTAAATATTTCGCATCGCATAATACGGTATTTTTTATATCGCAACATGTTATTCGCTGTGATTCCTCAGTTATCATCAGGTTCCTCAGTTTTTCAATCAAATTAGCAAAGATTGCACGGAACTTTATTGTCATCAGATGCTTGCAATATGAGATGTGCAACTTGTCAATTGCATCATTAGCTCAGTAAAATAAGCTGCCAAATTTTTGACACTAAAAAAACCCCTAATCAGTCTTATGCTATCTAAGACATTGATTAGTTACAGGTGGTGAACTGCTAGCTGCTTTTGAAAAGGAAGGTGAAGATGGAGTTTTAAAGTTTGCCAATGAGAAGCTTATATCAATGATGTATGAAGATGGCATATCACCGCAAATGATTCGTTTTACAGACTATGCAAAATGGAAAAAGACAACTGTACGTTTTTTTTTTTTGTTTAAATCAATTTTCTGTTATTTGCCAACGAATAGTTTTCTTCACAAAGAATATGGATCAGAATTGCAGAAATCAGTTAGTTTAACGTGTTAAGTGCTTTACATGTCTCAGCATGTTGAGAACCTTCAGATTCTGTTAGCTGGACTGTTTCGATTTTAAACGGTTACTGATTTGAATTATTTTTTTGTTTGTTTTTCAGTTTGTTCGCAATTTTCGCATTGCATCGCAATAAATTGAACCCCGCATGAAATATACTGTAGACTCAAAATCTGTCAAACTTGTAGTAATTTTTTTTTGTTTTCTTTTGATCCTTCACGTATGCAATGCTAAGGGAAACCATTACAGAATGTGCAGCTGGGTAAAACAGAAACAAGTTCCATGTACCAATTTGGGAGTAAATTCCGCGAACATCTTGGTCAATGGAGATTGAATAAACGCGGTGTGGAGGGTGAGACAATAATACATCTGTTGTTGAATCGGGAGGAACCAATGTGTAGTGAAATTGCTAGAATTTTGATAACGCGTTATCCAGGCCTTGCTAACGACATTTACCTCGGCGACGAAATGTTCGGTAAGAATACAACAGCAAAGCTACATTTCAATTGATTATATCCAACTACTCATTTTTTTGGCGTTAATAATTTTCAATTTTTTTTCCTAAAGTTTTCCGTGCAGTTAATTTTTCATCGGATCCTGCGCTGAATTATGAGAAGTTTAAACAAATTTGTTTTTTATAATTTTGTATAAAGTTGATTCTATCGTACTAGATCTTAAAAGCCGATATTTCAGGTCAAAGTGCATTGCATCTAGCCATTGTTCATGATGATTATGAAACGGTCCATTTACTACTGCAAAATTCAGCAGAAGTAAATGCCCGGGCTTGTGGGACATTTTTTCTGCCCGAAAATCAGAAAACATCTTCCAAATCAACTGATTATCAAGGTAGGTATCTGTTGTTTCAAGGTTAGCCCATAAAAAAAAGTTTTATGCAATAATACTCAAATAATACAATTCCGATCTTCTCGTTCAGGTTTCAGTGTGGGTTTCAGGATATGCCTATTATGGAGAATATCCGTTAGCATTTGCTGCTTGTTTCGGCAACAAAGATATCTATGATTTACTGATACAGTATGGTGCAGATCCAAATCTACAAGATATGTTCGGCAATACCATTCTACATATGTGTGTCATCAACTACAGCAATGTAAAATGCATTTTTCAATATTCACAGAAATCTTTATATTGTGTTTGTACCATTGACAGGTTGTGAAAGTCAATAAGACTTTGATGTTGTTTTGATGATACAGAAAAGTATTGATATTAGCGCATTATAGTCAATGTACAGTTATGCGGTGAGGCATTGGGCGAAACCAGCGGATCCAAACATTGTGAATGCAGCTGGCTTTACACCATTAACGCTTGCAACAAAACTTGGACGAAAGGATATCTTTGAGGAGATGCTGGAGTTGATGAAAGTCGTATGTACTTTTATGGTTATATGGAACTAATGATGTTTAACTTTTTCGGTTTTGAATTGGGAATTTGTGTATTTCAGGAATTTTGGAGATTTAGTGATATGACGTGTAGTGCATATCCTCTTACAGCCTTAGACACTATTCGTCCCGATGGTTCAACAAGTTGGCATTTTGATATTAATCATTTGATAATATTTGTCATACGTGCATTTATTGACTTTGGTTAATCCGTTTATTAAAAAAAGAAACAAAATTTCAGATAGAACAAATTTTTATTTATTCTATCTAGTGATTAAGCTGTTAATGGTTTGGCTATGTCATCTCAGATGACAAATTTTCTTTATTTTTTCATAGATCAGGTTCGATTTCTTGGAAAGTGGAAATGGAATAAATACTTTTTATATTTATTATTTGTCGTTTTTATATTTATTATTGTCGTTAATTTTAAATTTTAATTACAGATTATGACTCAGCGTTGATGACTGTGATAAATGGTAGTACCAGTGAACATTTAGATATGATTGGTAGCGAAGTGATTCAGCGGCTTCTTGCTGACAAATGGAAAGCTTTTGCATCAGTATGTTTTTTCGAACGAGTACTAATTAGACTGTCATGCTGTGATTATTATTTTGAATATTGATATCCAACCTTTTCTAAGTGAAGATACGATATCTTTAAAATTCAGTGCAAATAACTTACTTAATTACAGAGAAAATTATTTGAAAGGCTTG